TGCCATGCTAATAGGTCTGGTCAATTCTATAATGTCAATGACAATGTCGGCTTAACTTGAGGACCGTCCTCTTGTCTGACAGGTGTGTTACATTTTGACAAACAGCAACCGAGATTTACTAAAGCCTTCTCAGGCTATTGGAGTGTACCTGTAGTGACAAGGTCCCACCACGGGGAATCGAGGTACCGAATGCTGAATACATTAAGTGAATGAAAAGGAGACAGTAGCCGTCGCACTCAATTCTTATTTTATTCTCCTGTTTTGTTTCTCAGAGCTGTTGCCAAGTTGTTAATTACTCCACAGTCCGAGAAATACCCCGTCGGAGGTTGAACATACATCGCTGCGGCTGTATCTGGCGCTGGTCAGCGCGTACGAGCAATCGGAGTCGTTCGTTTCTTGTCCATAAAGATAAGGGTTCAGCTCTCAGCATTTATACAAGACGAATGTAATTCGGAAGATATGTTAAGCAATGCTGAAGTGAAGATCACTGATTATAAACAGGGCCAAATATCGGGGCATGATCCAGACCGATGCCAATCAGCTATTCATCAGGGCGCCTGAATGAACATGAAGGTGACCCATGGCATGCGAAAGAATCATAGACGAGGCAACATCAAGTCTAGACTTAATTGACAGGCGTGTCTATGATCCCTGTGGCGGGCTGCTCCTTCTCAAGGAAAATTGTAAAAAGTATGTGCATGTGTATAAGACGCCATGTCCAGACCGTATCTTTGGCCTGGCCTAATCAGGTTCGACCTGATCTGACTCCATGTGGAACTTGCGGTCGTGGGTTCGGGGTTGAAAGACTGCCGAGCGCTTGGTCACCTTCTCCAAGCACTGAAGAATCAACCTCAAGGAACCTCTGTGAGATTCATTCCTCGAAGGTGGGAGAGAGGACATCGATGTTCAACAGTCATACGCATATGAACCTCCGTCTACCAGTGCTTCGCGGTCCGGTATACGAGCTCGAAGAACTACGACATCATTGCATAGGTCTTGCAAGAACATCCTCAAAGGGGCTGCAATATTTGATCTGGGGCCTCTCGCAGGATGTAACAAGCAGCTTGGAACGAGGATAGTATGGAGCGCTTGGAGGGCAGTTCGGGCAAGTTGGGAATCCCTCATGGGACGTCATGGAGAAGACGTTGAAATGAGTTTTACTCCAATTCTTGAGAGAGGTGTGCATACATACTTAGATTTGTATTGCAATTTGTAACGAGATTGGCCTTCAGTCTGATAAGGTAAATTACGTAAAGAATCCATGGCAGTAGTAGGTGACGACGTTGTATCTAGGCCAAATTGAGTCTAACTCTCGATTTCGAGGTCTTAACACCATTGATATCTTGTTGAGGCTTACAAGCCGAGAACACGAGCCGAGAACGCGCGTGCTTACAAAGCACAACTAGCGGACTTGTTCTGAGTTTCGGAGAAAAACATATGATATATATTATACATAGGGAACTTCCGAAAAATAATCATCTTGCGCTCCTATTGCCAGACGCTTGCTTGTATCTAACCGTCATCGTAACTTTAATCTCGTAGCCTTGATCCTAAAAGGTTATGAGCCCTGCTCGTGCGCAAATAACAAAATAAAACATATAACAAACGAAGATTAACCAACCAAAATGACGGACCAATCTGCCGTTGGCTCCTCGCTATCATCGTTATATCGGATCGAGCATTTGAATGACTCTAACTGGCTAGGCTGGAAACGCCGAGTCAAAGCCATCATGTTCGAAAAAGGAATAGTAGGGTATGTTGAAGGTACCATCCCCAAACCTGCGCGAGGCCCAGACCCCGTTTCAGCACAGAGGGAAGCTGACATAGCTAAATGGGAGATGCAAGACCGTAAGGCCCAGACTGTGATTGAGCTGTCAATAAGTGATAGCCAAATGATTCACTTAGCTGGAGCCTCAACGGCGAAAGAGATGTGGGATCAACTGAGAATCGTGAAAGAATCACGAGGAAAACAGGCGATAACCACATGGCGGCGAAAGTTCTACAGAACCACCGCTGACGAAGGCGATGACATCCCCATACATGTCAAAAACATGAGGGAAATACAGGAAACCTTACATATGATGGGAAGTCTGGTGACGGAAGACGACTTCTGCACTGTACTTATCTCGTCGTTACCGGAATCCTGGGATACCTTCACCACAACATATCAGATTAGGATGGGCGACACGAAGACAATTACGTCGCACGAGTTAATCTCCCTTATTCTAGAGGAGAACTCGCGGAGGAAAGAGAAGGATGGCAAAGGAAAAGGAAAGGAGAACGCACTTGTTGTCAAAAGAAGGAATCTAGGAAAAAGGAAGTGAGAAGACGTGAAGAAATGCCGCATTTGATGTAGACGCGCAGGCATCAACTAGCGCAACACCTTCTACACCCGATACACAACGTGAGGGGGAGACAGAACAAATCGACGTGCAATCTGGTAATCATCCAAGTTCAAATGAAGATAAGCATGATTATATAAGGGGAGACGACGAAAACTCACCCAAGAAAAGGGAATGTCCCCCTGAAGACGAAGATGAAGTTGATATGCCTAGAAGATCAAAAAGACAAACGGTAAGACACGACTATCAACAATTAAATGACCCAGAGCCAGAATGGGCTTACCTCGAGTACGAACGACATGAGCTCGAGGAAGAACTCTATCAGGAGGACATAGTCCTTGCCGCGCTCGCTGCAAATGGCAGTTTTGACCCGCATGAGCCAAGATCACTAAAAGAAGCACAGACATTAGATGATTGGCCAAAGTGGGAACAAGCAGTGTGAGCAGAACTTACCCAATTAGAGCAGATGGGCACTTGGGAGCTGGTAGATCCCCCGAAAGATCGCACCCTAGTTGGGAATAAGTGGGTCCTCGTAAAGAAAACTAATAAAGAAGGGGAAATAGTCAAATACAAAGCACGGTTAGTAGCCAAAGGGTACTCACAGATACCGGGAATGGACTATACAGACACCTTCTTGCCGGTGGTGCGCCTAGAGACAATAAGGTCCATGATGTCCACAGCGGCATGTCTCAATTGGGAGATACAACAAATGGATGTCAAGGGGGCGTACCTAAATGGCGTGCTAAAAGAAGAAGTCTATATGGAACAGCCCGAAGGCTACAATGATGGAACCGGCAGAGTATGTCGACTACGAAAAACCCTCTATGGGCTAAAACAGTCGGGCCGCGAATGGAACCTTGAGTTGAATAGCCGCCTAACAAACATAGGATTTAGACGATTAAAGTCAGATCCATGCACGTACATCAGAGAATCTGCGAAAGGAACAGAGATAATAACTGTATGGGTCGATGACCTATTATTATTCGCGGATACTCCGAGTCTAATGGATCAATTAAAGGAGCAACTCAAAAAGATACTAGATATTACGGACCTAGGAGAACCAAAAAAGATTGTAGGGATCGAAATCACTTGAGATCGACCAAATAGGTCAATCTGACTAACGCAAACAAAATATATAGAATCGATCCTACAAAAACAAGGTCTTCAGTCATGTAATTCAGTAGGGATGCCGCTAGATCCGAAAATTATACTCGAAAAAGAAGAGACTGACCAGGAGGGAAACCGTAATAACGGTTATGCGTCACTGATCGGATCCATGATGTACTTGGCAGTAGCTACACGCCCAGACATAGCGTATGCCATACAGCGACTTAGCACGTTTACTGCAAACCCTGGATTAGCACATTGGGTAGCAGCAAAACGCGTATTAAGATACCTGTCTGGAACGCGAGAACTCGGGATAAAATATCAAGGGACCAGAGAACTTGACAAAAGCCAAATTCGATTTGTCGGATGGTCAGACGCAGACTTTGCGAACGATCCGAGAGATAGAATATCAATATCAGGATACGTCTTCAAACTTGGAGACGGAGCAATAACTTGGAGCTCTAAAAAACAAAACGCAGTTTCTCTTTCCTCGACGGAAGCAGAATATACTGCAATGGCACACGCGACGCGTGAAATAGTATGGCTCCGAAATTTATTTGAAGAGGTAAACTTACCTCAACAAGCTCCAACAATTCTCCATGGAGACAATATGTCCGCACTCGCAATAGCGCGAGACCCACAGTACCACGCGAGGTCCAAGCATTTTGATGTGAAAGACCATTACATCAGGCAAAAGATCCAAGATCGAGTGATTCAAGAACAGTACTGCCACACTGATGAGATGATCGCAGACGTATTAACAAAGCCGTTATATAAGCCGAAACATTGTAAGTTTATCAATGATTTGGGCATGAGCTCGGCTTGAGGGGGAGTGTTGAGGCTTACAAGCCGAGAACACGAGCCGAGAACGCGCGTGCTTACAAAGCACAACTAGCGGACTTGTTCTGAGTTTCGGAGAAAAACATATGATATATATTATACATAGGGAACTTCCGAAAAATAATCATCTTGCGCTCCTATTGCCAGACGCTTGCTTGTATCTAACCGTCATCGTAACTTTAATCTCGTAGCCTTGATCCTAAAATATCTGCAATCTGCAAGGCTATCCGGAATATTGGTTATGCCGTCCTCATTCAACATCCACTGCATTACAGGCCAAAGGGGCCAGGTGAAATTGACGCGGCCCTGCCGCGCCTGCCGCGGTCATGACGCGCCTGTGACGCGGCACTGACACGGCATATGTGACGCGGCACTGTAACAAATTCCTATGTACAAATCACCTGGGTTGCCCAATTAGGGAGCCTTATTATACTTGACGATTACGTGCCTCGGCAACTCTGATTAGGCATGTTTGTGCTAAAACCCAACACCAGCATTAAATGCTGCCCCAAATTACCTGGGGCCTTCACTTATTCAACCTATGTACTATAGCCTAGGGTGGGGCGGGTATTCGGACTCTATCAGTAACTTCCCGCGCCCTTCCCACCTGCGCCTAGAAGGGTTATCCACCAAGCCAATGCATTCTCACGCCCCTTGCCCTCTTCCACATCGTCCGCTATCCGGTGCTGCTGCATATCCTCAACGCCTGCCATGCCTCGTGGCTCTACCACTTACAAGGTCACCGGGTTGTCGAAGTCGGTCATTTCTCACCATTTTCGAGGACGCCATCATCAATCAGAAGTCCTTGCGGCTGGCAAACAACAGCATCGAATAATGGCAACGGATACCAGCCGCCAGGCTGAAATACAAGGTATGTTTTCTCATTTACTTTCCGCCTCATTCACTATAATTTTTGCAACAGAAATGTCCGCAGAGGACCAAAATGCGGTGGAGACCATGATTACCCACCATGGCATCGATGTCGAGGCACTACCATACACTGCTCCTCCTGGAGAGGAAGGTTTTGATATGAGTCATGCAGGTGGGGAACATGAAGTGTTCGAAGGGCTGGCACATCAGGTGGCCGACATTGGTGGATAGTAAGTCCTATTCACTTCATCCTGACATATCTTGTTTATACTTCAGCACAGTCGCTACATAGATCCTCGCACTCGCCGAGACCGCACAGAAGACCAGACTTCTCATTGGAATCTCCAGATCAAACACCTTGTGGACGCCTATCTTGACTACCGCGCTCGAAATTCTGGCAATGGCATACCAAACCCACAAGACTTGCCCACAGTCCCACCTTTGGACATAGATACGACGGACTGCCCTTCACTCAACAACATCGAGCTCATTGACATTTTCAGTAAGTATCTTCGCACTATTTCAAAGCATTATTTCATTCTCCCACAGGGCGGTGCCGTCCCTCTCTCCAGCCGATAGCATCGCACAGGTTCCCTAACGAGACACTTATCTATCATGGCTACATCGGATGCGCCCCGATGTACCCAACCATTGCAATTTCGCTCCGTACTCTTGCCGCCTTCCGGCAATGTCATTGAGCCTGTCCTCGCTTCAGTATCCAGGCACAGTGTAGAACACTTTGTTTCCTTCATGATGTGAGTATGGGACGATACTCTCGGCAGCCTGTCTATTGATATGTAATTGATAGATTCCTTACCGGCCCTACCTCAATACACAATTCTCGGCCGCTTACGATATTTATTTGGAAATCATCCATCACATTGACCAGCGCCTCAAGGCGGCGCTCAAACACGACACTCCCAATTGGCGCTTACTAAATTCCTGTCCCGCTTGCTTCTATAAACTCCAAGATGAGCCAACCCTTGATTTCAACTGGCTCGTGTGCGTCGATGGCAACAATAGCTTAAAGAGATGGGATTCCTCCATCTATGGTAACACTGCTTGGTTGGATTCTCGTCAAGCTCGTTCAGACTACTGGATTGATCGTGAAACTGTTGACAAGTATAAACACGAAGCGAAATCGTGCGATGTAAGTCGATTCACTTAATTTGAGCAATTTTTGATCGCATTGTGCAGATCAACTCACATGATGATAACTGGGAGGAAGAGCCGGTTGACGCTAGCACTAACCCTTCTAATGTGCTCACTTGTGTTGATCGATGGCGCAATGCTGGCCCTGAGACTCGTAAAAAAATGTTTTCCATGTTTCATGAGTCTGGGATCTTTATCGCTGCTTGTCGCCACCGCTTCATACTTCTAGCTTGCGACATGGTTCAGAGTGGCGAGCTGTTAGTCTATTTTTGTCATGGTTTGACGTTTGTTGATCATTCCAACAGAGCTAAATATCCGTTGGCGCTCATTGACAAGCTCCTCACTGTATATGGAAAGAACGGGGGCTGTGCTTATGATATCGGATGCGCCTTCTCAAAGACCCTGAGCAATAGTTCCTTCGGCTCTCGAGCGCACGATCTTGGTTTTCGGATGATGGTCGGGTCCTTTCATGGCCACGCACACAACCGCAAATGCCAGTTACGTTGGCATCCAATGTATATTCCTGGAACGGGACACACTGAAGGCGAAGGTTGTGAACACATTTTCTCTGCTTCCAATGAGCTTGCTCGTAGTACTAGACATGCCAGTTCCTTCCATCGACATCAATCTATCGAGGAACACTTCTCATTTTGGGATCAAGACAAGTACGCTAGCCTTAGTTTGTATATTCCACTTTAGCCTTAGTTCACAGTACTGATTAGCGTTCCAATAGGTAATTTCTTATGGAACCACTATCGAGAAGCGCTGAAGGCAGTTCACAATCTCACCACTGAACTCACAGCTATCAAACACGAGCTTCGACTAACCGATGATGATTTCGTTCGTTTTCTCGACGAAGAGCAAAAATACCTTGATGATCTGAAGCAGCCACCAGCCGAAGACCGTATCCGCATTCGCTACGTTGAGACACTTGATGAACTGGCTGAACGAAGGTGAACTAACCTCATTTAATTTACGGTCATTTTTAATATCAAGTGTTTTTTTTTTAGGTCCGATTGGGATTCGGCTCGCCAAGCAGCCAACAATGCACTTACCGAACTTCCGGCAAGCAGCCTAGCGCAGATCAATCAAGCTCTAACAGTTGCCCTGTATTCGGGTTGATTCATCCTATGCTAAACTACAGCACGCGGAGGCACTAGTGGCCCACATGGAATCTCAGCTTGGTGTAGATGCACGATGGGAAATTGGTGGTGAGGAGTATAGCTGCTTCAAGGAAGAAGCTTCTCTGGGCAAATATCGAGCTGCGCTCAACGACTTAGAACGCTTGGTTGTGATGCGGCTGTTTGAACTTTCAAAGCTGTCGTTATCGGGCACAGGTAAATGATTTCTTTTGATTTGGTTATGTCAAATCAATAACATTTCTCGAGGGTATAAACTTCGTCAGCAAATTAGCAAAGCCCTACAACGACGTTCTGAGGCTATCCGCAAAGCTATCGCACGCTACAATGTTCAAGCTGTAGCCTTGAATCCTCCGCGCGACAAGATATCATGGAAGGACATCGCTGATTACACTTTCCTTGGAGAGTTTGACCTCTTGCGGCACTCTCGCAGCGATGTTCGAAGTGATGATTGGGCCAAACCGGCTTACCGAGAAGCAACTTCAAAGTATTTCAAGCTCCTCCGTGCTCGTGAAGAAATCACTCGACTTAACGTTGAAATTCGGCGTCTCCGCACTGCTATTTACGATGAAGAACTTCAGGCCACTGCTGTCATTCGCGATCTTTCTGGTTCTGACCCATTGCTTGCTAGTGAGCTGAAGCGCCAGTGGCGTTCTCGAGCAGCTATCAACGCTGTCCATGTTTATCGCTTAGATCAAATTGGGAGTCTTACAGGATTCTCTGGTGTCCGTGGTATTGGCACTCGCCTTGAGACACCTTCAACAACCATGGTAGAAGGTGACTCAGAATGCAGCACGCTGAGTCTTGACGACGAGGGCGCTCCTTCCTGTATGTACCATACAACTATACATTTCACGCTAACTTACAATCTTAGTAGGTCGAGAGGACATCGACGACATTCAGGCAATCATCATGTCTGATTATGTTGACATGGATGCCATTGATCGGGAAGAATTTGGTAGGGCAACGGAGGACATCGCCGACTATTTACAATCCATTGTCGACTGAGCACTGTAGTTTTAATGTTGTATATATATTCAGTCTTTGATATATACATTGAGTTCTGACTGCACAATGTCTGTTTGAAGCAAGTCGCAAATGTTGATATATATATTGAGTTCTGACTGCACAACATCTGTTCGAAGCATTTGAAGCAAGTCGCAAATGGGATGACATCATCGTCATCTTTGATTTCAACCACCTTGTCTCAAAAACAGATCGTTTATACAAAGTAGTCCATAGCGTAGTGTATATACGTGTTGATGTGAGCAATTTGAAATAATTGAAGCTTCATGCGTTGTTTAAGCATGAATGTTGCAGAAACCATCTCACTCCTGAATGGGACTTGCCGGTGATTGGACATTTCAGCCATTATCGACAAGTCATCGTCATCTTCTATTACAGTATTCACCATATCCTCTGCCGCTATCATGATAATAGTACTTGAGACATGTATCACAGATCACCCGCATGCTCGCCAGTTGAGTCATGGTGTTGGGCCATTGGTGCATTTCAACTTGAAGTCGTGAGTCACTTCACTTGCTTAGCGCATATATCGAGACTCTTTCATTTACGGCACAACTTCAACACCAGCATGACCACTCCCACAAAACTTAGGAAAAAAGCACCCTCCATCATCACGCAGTCCGACTTCCTGTCTCAAACTGCGGGCTTCAACAATCGCTTTTCTATGAGTAGCATCGCTGCTCTTTATACTTCACAGTTTGCGGAAGGCTTCAGCAATAACGAACGGCAAGCATCCATCAGGGCCTCACTCAAGCATGATGCACACATTGACGGTGCTCATTATTGGATGAAAACAGCTGGTGGTCTTCATCCGTCGTACATTTCATTCAACCCTGCTGTGGAACAGACAGAACAGAGGGTTCTTACTCAGGATGACCTCTTAGAAGCGGCACTGCAAGATGTTTTCGATGCAGTGAGTTATATTAATCAATTTTCTTTCTTAAATATCTTGTACTTTCTAGATCACCATGCAAGACCGTCTCGATGGCGGCATCTCCCTTCTGATTCATTGTGGTGGCATTGAAGCCGGCCCCAACATCTCACCAGAACAAGTGCCCATCGACCTCTATATCACACCCCGCGAATTGCAAGAAACAGGCCAGCGCATCGGTGGAGACCTTGCTGTTTTGGTCCAGGCCTTCGCGCAGGAGTTCGCTGTTCCACATCTCCATCGTTTCATGCAACGTTGCACTGCCGAGAATGTGAAACCGCCTAAGCATTGTAAGTTCTTATTCCTTGTATTTTCCTGAGCCTTGCTGATGTGATACTATAGTCCCTGCTACGCACATCAGTCCAAATGAGCCACAATATTTGCCAGCACCCATGGTCGCTACTGGTGCTCGTATCCAGTGTTCTGCACAAGCACCTCATGTGTTTGCGAGCGCCTTGCAAGCTCTCTCGGATGCGAAAGTGCCTAACACGTCATCGGCTGCTATACGCCACGGTGTAACAAGTGCCATGCAACATCAGATTCGTCAATGGCGACCTGCGGATGTATTTCTTAGTAGCAGGAACCCCGGTGATAGCTTAGTGGCTGGTCAATCGGATACTCTGCGTGGTGGTACTAATTCGGTTGGGCCAGCGCTCATTAGCGTTGGACCAAACACTGATGCAGTGCTTGATCGGTTCAAGCTTGGGGATGAGATTTTGCCCAAGCTGCGAGTTTTAGCCAGCACCGTCCGTAGCAGCCGATGGGAATCTGTTTTCAGATCTCCGAAGTGGGATTTGTCCTACGAGCAAGCTTCCTTGTTGTCGAAGGCCCTTCTTGCTGACTTACAGGACGTACCACTCAACCATGATGTTGTCCAGGTCAGTGATTTGTTTGTTACCTAACCTTCTGTCCTAATTTTCTTTAATTAGTCACCATCCGCACTAGCAGCTGTTCTCACTAGCATCTTGAAGATCCTTGGCATTTTAGTTTTTTTATGTGCGCTATACTTTTTTGGGCTTTTATTCCTGTAGATCTTGAGTTTGTGCCGTAGACTCAATATACTCATTGATGGTTCATCGCTTCGTAGATCATCGACCCACACAAATAAATATACCCTCGGTGCGTTTAAAAGTTGGAACTCGACCTTGAAAAGTTCACAGACACACTAACCCATCATGGCTACCCAGTCCTTCTATGCAACCAAGCGCACTGGCAGTACACATCATATTCGGATGCCACTTCGGACTCGTCCCAAGGTCTCGCTCAGCAAAGAAGCTCGAGCAGCATTGAGATTCACGCAACGCGAGAAGTCCCGTTTATTCAGAGATGCTCTCAATGACGCTTGGAGCCAGATTGATCAGACAACCAAGACCATTGCAGGTTCCCACCATAAAAGTATTCGACGCGTTCAGAATAATTTATACTTTGGTCGTGGTATGCTGCGCTCAAGGCGTGTGAAGCCTAATCTCTGGAACACTTTTTGCTGGAAGAAAAATCAGGAAAAAGAAAATAGTAAGTTTATTTGTTGTCGCTATAACACACTCTAATATGACACCTCAATAGGTGGCCTCGGCAAGGCTGCACTCCAGTCGCTAGTCCGCGACCATAAGGATGAATATCACACACTGTCAAAGGAGGAGCAAGACGAGCTTCTGGAGGAGTTTGCCAACTCGAGGGAGACCAAGACTATGGGCTTGCGTATCTCTGCAAAGTCGAAGGTCAATGACATCACGCAGACTTTGAAGGCTGTCGAGAACGAGGTTAGTGATCATTTCTATCAATTTTGGTTTCACTAATCCTAAGTCATACCAGCTTAACAGTCTTAAATGTCGTACAGGTGCAGAAACCATCCTGTACACAACGCGAGGCTCAACAGACCTTCCCCTTCGAGGAGTTAGCTTTGCCACCGAGGGCGTTCAAACATTCATGGGTTCTGTGATGGGAATTGATGGTCAGGATCTGGTAAGCAAGATGGAAGGATTCGCGGTCCAAGGAATTAAAGGTCTGTTTTTGCGCATCGAGTTAGTACCTATTATCTAATGTTGATATTCAGGTGCTGCCAAGAATCACCAACAGCGTGTCTCCAGGTTGCGTTCATCAATCTGCGAGATCATGAATAGCAAGCTACATAAGTTTTATTTCATTCTGCCAGTAGTAGCGTGTTTTTTAACTTAATTTCGTCAACAGAGGAAGTTACCGGTGATGATCGTGCCAAGATGCAGTGGGTTCACTACTTCCGCAACGTTATTCAGTGCTACCAAGTGGTAGTCGAAGGGTGGCCAAACAACATTCCCTTTACCAACCTCAGCAAAGTATCGAGTGCGATTCCAGACCTTGAGATGCTCTTACGGAAGTGGGAGTCAGGCGCTACATACTGGAAGGCCATAGATGACATAGAATTCGAACGGCTTCGTCGAGAGCGCGATGAAGGGCTCGAAAGCGGTGATATTATTGATCAACGCCGGCGCACTCGATCTGACAAGGGGAAAAAACACAGACAGCCTGCAGGAACTCAGAATGGAAGGAAGACAGTACATAAGAGTGCGGAATTTGTTGATACTGATGATGAACAGGACGAGCCTCGTCTCCAGTCTCCAGAGCCTCGTCTCCAGTCTCCAGAGCCTCATCTCCAGTCTCCAGTAGCACAGCCCGCTACCAGTGGCAGCCTTCCTTCTACCACCCCTGCTCCCGGGTTTCAGTTCAATGCCCTCGAGTTTCCATTCAATCCCCAGTTCAATTTGAACGCCCCCGAGTTCCAGTTCAATACCCCCGAGTTTCAGTTCAATCCCCAGTTCAATTTCGATGGTCCTGAGTTCCAGTTCAACGATGCGCCTGACTTCGGTCCTGGGCCATTGCTCAACTAGATGGAGTTAGTTACTTGCAGTTGAGTTTGGAGCGGTCGTTGTGCACTGTAGTGATACCTAATGTTTTTTTCTTTGATCTTGCAAATATTGTCTCATACATACAGTCCCAGCTCAGTTTACTATCACGGAACGTTCAATATAATGAAGGCGCCATGTGTTATTTACTACCTATGACATGAACTTAACAATTTACTGATGACATTGAAATAAAACCACTGCTAGAGCAAACTGATGGCGCAGAGCTAGTGTTGGAGAAGCGGATGGTAGAAGCACTATAAACCACACTGATCCAAAATTGTTTACGCCGCAGGAGGGATATGAAGAACCCTCGAAGGAGGGTCGAGGTCTTCGAGCGCCTTCAAAACCACACCGATCCAAAGTTGTTTACATCGTGGGAGGGATATAAAAGGAGGGTCGAGGTCTTCGAGCGCCTTCAAAACCACACCGATCCAAAGTTGTTTACGTTGTGGGAGGGACATGAAAGGAGGGTCGAGGTCTTCAAGCGCCTTCAAAACCACACCGATCCAAAGTTGTTTATGCCGCGCTGTATTTTCGACCGGCAATCTCTTGGTGGGTGTGAGTAGTGGGGTTATGTGGGGAGGAAGGTGAAGTGACCTTGTAAGTGGTAGAGCCACGAGGCATGGCAGGCGTTGAGGATATGTATAGGCTAATGGTGGACGGTGGTGCATGCGCTGAGAAAGAATGGGAACGAACCAGAATGGCGGGGTACCCTTGTAGGTGCACGTCTGTGTATATGGTGGGGTTGCGTCAGTGGGTGATCAGAAGGTACCCAGAGGGCAGCAGCACCGGATAGCGGACGATGTGGAAGAGGGCAAGGGGCGTGAGAATGCATTGGCTTGGGGGATAACCCTTCTAGGCGCAGGCGGGAAGGGCGCGGGAAGTTACTGATAGAGTCCGAATACCCGCCCCACCCTAGGCTATAGTACATAGGTTGAATAAGTGAAGGCCCCAGGTAATTTGGGGCAGCATTTAATGCTGGTTTTGGGTTTTAGCACAAACATGCCTAATCAGAGTTGCCGAGGCACGTAATCGTCAAGTATAATAAGGCTCCCTAATTGGGCAACCCAGGTGGTACAAATCATGTTTACACAACTTCATATCGCATTCCAAACACTTTGAATCATCGTTAATGATCAACATATGAGTGTCTGCCTGCGTACAGGCTCTATAGTGCTGTATTCACCTCTCACCAAATTTACAGTGCTTGTCCTCTGCGTTCATATTACTAGTATGCATCTTGCGCGTCAGTCCTATATTGTTGCATTACCTCTAATTCGTTCATCTATGTTGGTTTTCAGATGCAGTGTCAAATGTTGTCTCACTGTTTCAAGCTTCGACCTCACCCTGCCAAGTTTGATCCACTCTCTATACCCTGCACCAACACGTCGAGCCCCAACCATGGCATGTCAGAAGCCTCGTTTAGGCTGCGTCAAGCACTACTCACACCACGACAAGTTCTCCCAAATATCTTCGCAGTCTCTGTACTAATATCAACATCCACACTCTATGCCGCGTCAAGACCTACTACAGTGCCGCGTCAACCATAGCACATACCGCGTCAGTTGCCGCGTCACATGCGCGTCAGTGCCGCGTCAAACAAGTTGTGCCGCGTCAGTTGCCGCGTCAAACCTCCTCCATGCCGCGTCACTGCCGCGTCAAACCTCGTCACTGCCGCGTCACCCGCGCGTCACGCCGCGTCAAACTTCATTCATGCCGCGTCAGACCTCACCACCTCCACATGCCGCGTCAAACCTCACCACCTCAACTGTCACACTGTCCGTATAACTTAGGTACATTTTACTTTACATCTGTCATAATAATTGATATTCTAACAGTGTTCCTTTTCATCCTGACAGAATTAGACGTCGTACACTGTAATTGTCCATAGGCAGTAATAAATTTATTTTACTAAGCATTCTTTCGTTGTCTCCTCTGGGCTCGAGAAACAACCCTTATTATCGCGCTTTTGTAAATCGTATCATGGCCTTTGTGAGTTCTTTAAAATACGGAGTAAACTTGTTATAACCATCTTTTAGCAATTAATCAAACATATATTCAACTTTTTCTATCCCAACGAGACAGAGAATCAAAATGATCCAGATCGGCCGGGTCCGCTGCTGAGTTTTGGGGACCTCATACCCTGCTATGACCGCTCAGGTGCGTCATCCGACATATTCTCCTTGTGAACTCAGATTTGACAAATAGAACAGGCAATGTAATAGCTTATCTTCCGGCCTCCGTGCAGACCGCTCAGCCATCACATGACCCTGCACACTCCGTCCCAAATCCACCACCCCTCCCTCAACACATGAAACACCACTCACAAGAGTTATTCGAACTCTGCACGGACACAAAGTCTATACCACGCCGACGTGCCCGAAGTGTTAGTCCTTCTGCAGCCCGAACAAATCAACGCCGTGGTCTGGATCAATCCTCCAATTCCCTACGTCCCAAATCTGGCGGTGGAGATGAGTTATGGGACCCATGGCCGGACGGTGACTTTGAAAGGTTATTAACATGGGAGGAGGTATTAAGAACTGACAATCTTAGCGAACATTGGGCTTGTCAGCCAGGAGGAGGAGACAAGAGGGGGTCAGAGTCAGCACTTGCGTGGTCGCAAGGTAAAAAGACGAGACGTGTTTGCCTGGGTGTCATTACTTGTGATGAACCTACCTGTGAGGTAGTCACACGTCCGCAGACCCGCCGGGCTGGTATCATGGGACAACTCAATGCATCGTGCCTTTGTGGTAGTCAGCTCAAGCACATCGACTGCGGTGTCACATCAGTGTTGTATTCATTCAAAGGAGGCGTCTACTACATTCACAAGGGCATTCACCACCATCCGAAACAAACTCACATCTTGCATCTATCTCGTGACGAGCGGACAAGATTTGAACAAATAGTCTTCGAAAATCCTGCTGCTGGCCCTGCGGCATTAATTGCTGGTCGCAACAGCATTACTGGTACCCGTGAATCTGTTTCAACGATCTCCACAGTGCTTCTCAACCAGGACCGTGTCAAGGCCGAGCTGCAAGCACTACGGGGCAAGTCCACTCGAAACTTTGTTGATGACTTCGCAGAATTCCAGAAGAACCATCCAGGATATGTTTTGTATTCTCAATTCGAAGCAGTCACTGTCGTTGTTGTTCAAACTCAATTCATGGTGTCACAACTGGTGACCGACTTCATCGAGGACGAGGCTGTGAATGGCATTGTTTCGGATGCAGCACATGGGTTTTGGTACTCATCTAAGGATCTTCTCATAATTAGTTCGACATATTCTGCTTTGCTCGCATGCTGGGTACCTGGACTCGTGACCTATGCAAATGGAGGTTCAGCCGAGCACTACCGATTACATTTTCTTGTCCTTTTCAATTCCATGGCAGATGAATGCGAGAAGCACGGGCGTGAAGTCAATGATGAACTGTTTGGCAATGTAAGGCTCCAGTTACTGGTACATAGTGTTCATTCTGACATTCGCTGATCCAGGTTGTCGACTTCAGCGAGGCTGAACGAGTTGGGTTTACTCAAGCGTTCATTATGTTCTGGACCAATCGTGAGGATTCACGTTCTCAGGCTGAACTTGAAGATGCAGCAGGAGCACTCCTCAAAGGCTGTCAGCAGCATTACCGGTCTCAGGTCACACGTGTTAAAAAAATCAGTGGAGTTATTGACCCTGCCAAAGCGGACAACTTTCAGAGTCGTGCCCTGGCCCTGCTGTTGGTCTTGGATATGGACACTTTCAAGCAAAAGGTTGCATCCCTTTTACGAGACTATCCCAAGACAAAGCCATGGCTAGAGTGGTGGCTTCGTGACAGCCATGCCCAGATGCTGTTCCCTCCTTTTCAGAAGATGAAAACGGGTCTATTCCAGGCAATGCCAAACTCTACTAATGCAGAAGAAGCGATGCATGCAAAGCTATATGCCACGGTCGGCAAGCGCTACAACTTGATGGAGGGGCTGCTTTGCTTGCAGGTTTTTATGGAAAGTTTTCAACTACGTGCAGCTGGCCGAAGTGGTATGTTGTATATTGTCAGTGTTAATTTGATATTAAACACCCCTTGTTTCGATTAGTGGGTGCTCCAATTCGCTACGGAGCAGCCAAGAGCTGGCAAACCAATCTACAAATACATGGTCGTACTCATCCAGAAAGAGCACCACGATCACATCGGTCCAAGTCCAGAAAAAATGATGGACGCCCTCCTGATACCTCGCGACAGCTTCTGAGAACTCATTCAAAATCTCGCGACAAGCAACAGGCTTCCAAAGAAGACTTAGATTCTGATTCTGACAATTCGCTCGACTCCAACATCTCTAACCATCCACTGAGCTCGCGCCCCAGTTATCCCTAGTCTCAAAACTCATGTTGGCTTGATACATGCCTGGAGCTCATGTTCATTACCATACACCCTCACTTTTATACCGTCTTCCAGCCACGCTTCCTTGAGATCCGCGAGGAACATCCCTTATGGGCTCTGAATCAGGTCATGAAAGTTCGTATGAGCATTGATCAGACATCTAATGCATCTCGTATCTTGACGACTCAACGTGATGGGTTCCGCAAGAATCTGAGGGCCACACGAATCATCAAGGATATATCAAGTGCGGACGGAGTATTTGTAAGTGTGCTGTCATATTTCGCAAATCAGAGTTTCACTAATAGTAGTACCTTACACTAGGGCTGGCTAGGAAGGGCATTCCGACTACTGCTGCATAAGATGCCACCTGAAGAGACATACCTTGCTCGCACTTTCTTCGAGGCACAGATCATAGACCTGCGATTTTGCTCTGGTACATCAGGAGGACCAATGCACTGGCAAATACCACGTCAACCGCACCCAAAGTGTCATTTTCAGCTTGATGTCAAACTCTCAGCTCAGTACAAGGGCGATCTAGCTGCTTGATTTCGTGATCTTTTCAGCTTGATGTCAAACTCTCAGCTCAGTACAAGGGCGATCTAGCTGCTTGGTTTCGTGATCTCATTCGCGTGAACAAGGAGGCCACTTCTAAGACTTATTGCTGGCGAACTTTGAATGCACAGGTTTTATGTGACGGCTCCCCCAATTTCATCACTTTGTATCTTGGAATTCCTGTGATGTTGATAGTCGAGTTCGGTGATGTCCTCCATCGCGATAACAAATGGAACATTCCCAAGCACATAAGGCCCCTCACAAAAGAAGCCGAAGAACAGCATTCCCTCGTTTACGATGTGGTTGGCCTTGCCTTTTGTGACCCTACACCAAAGCTGGCACACTTTATTACTCGCTACTCACTGGATGGGAAGAGGGTCTACCATTACGACGACCTTTCTCGTGGAGGATATGTACAATTGTTGAAGAATGCGACTGTCAAGAGCCATCTTGTGGGCAATTTGCACGACATCCCGGCACCAGGAGGCTTCAATGTTCATGGTGTTGTGTATAGGCTACGTGGTGGCTCTGATGCGCAGAACTTCTTTGCTGAACATCAAATAGCAGCCGCAGAACGTTTGCACCATGTTCATGTCGACGTGACCTGCAGTCACCAAGTTCAATTCCTATCATTTCTTTGTCTCGCGCTGCAGTGGCTGCTGTTGATCCAGACAATCTTATTTGGCTCAAAAACCCTGCAACTACACAGAATATAGAATACGAGCAGGTGGTAACACTGAACACAGGCAGTAATTCCAAGAACAAAGCACCACCCCAACACCAATGTTCTCGCACAAAAACGAAAAAACTTCGGATCTTGTTGCCGGTATTGGAAACTGAAGATCGGCCATCCATAAACGAGGGTGAAAAGCCGTCTGACCAGGCCAGCGTACCCGAGCCAATCGAGGATCCATTGGTCCTTCAGGCATCTGGCAACGAAGAGGAATCACTGTCCACATCCAAGATAAAGAAACCATTAGAGCTGGACGACGAAGAGAGTGAAGCATCTGACTATACATTTGATTGTAGGTGTGGGGCTCTTGGCAACGGCCATGAAGTTGCAGGTGGTCAAAAGACAATCCGATGTGATCTGTGTGAAAATTGGTCACACATTGCTTGTCAGAGAGGTGGCCGAGCCAGCAATCTTCATCCAAAGGCAGCATTTTATTGCGATGGATGCTCAACACAGGAGTCAAAAGCACCACCAACCCGCAAGTAAGTTTAAACAACTGTGCCTCTCGCATAAACTGACATCCGTGACTCAGGAGCAGCAGGAAAGCCACAACAAAGAAGAAAACGACTCCACTTTACACACGTCTGATGTTTGTCTTTTGATCTCCAACCCTAGCTGAGAATCGAGATATGGCTGATCACTCACTTATAGTGCTGGCAAAGGAGCTCTGGCTCGTCTCGGGAAGTATTGGTATCCTGTGCGGCTGATTCAGTCCTATGACACTGTTAGTCTCCCTGCTAGTGCACGCAACCGAGTACGCTGGCGGGTGGTCTGGTGGCGCGGTTGCAGATTCCCATCAAGTTTGGGATCACCTCCTGGTGATGTTGAGCAAGGAGATCTCGTGGATGAACTTTGGCAGGACCAAGCTAAGAGGCGTGAGATTCGCGTGAGTGACAGTGACTGGTTATACTCGCAGTCCTCTTGACACGAAGTATTGTGTAGCTCGGAGAATGGATCCACTCTTGGGATACTCCTCGCGAAGAAGACTTGATTCAAAACTTTATGTCAGCGGAAGTATCAAAAGAACTGGACGACATTCTACTACCACATATTGCTTCGCTTCAGAAGCTCCTTGACAGTCCAGACTTGAACCAATATGGTGCGGAGGCATACCCCGTGATAGACTACATTGTTGAAAGATTATAGATAAGTGATAACTTTGATTCGGACAACAACAAACAACACTCGCTTACATAATACGCTATGCGCTCATTAGAAGTTTTATATTACTTAGCACCTCAGTCTTCGACTATTGAGACTGAGGTATGATATTATTTATTTAGACTCTTTACTACGATACTGACTACTACTCTAGTACTTACTACTTTCGTTTATAGGTCAGCTAGTAGTCTCCCAGTCTTCGACTATTGAGACTGAGTACTTACTACTTTCGTTTATAGAATTCTTTCTGTCATTCTTTCGTCTGTCGCATCCTCGAACAAAAGGTTATGAGCCCTGGTGCTTAGAATCAATCCAGTACCACAAAGGAACATCAACCGAAACAAGAATTAAATGTCGAACACACCCTCAGTGTCTGCAGCCCAGTCAGGTGCAGCTGCTTCATCCTCGAACATCCCTTCCATATCATCCAGTTCTACATCTACAAGCAGAACTGCACAAGCCTCAAATCGTCTATATGATATTCCATCCCTCGAAAACGACGGTTCAAACTTCCAACTATGGAAGTACCGTGTCGAGTTAATCCTTGACCTTCGAGGACTATGGGGAATTGTTGAAGGAAGTGAAAAGATGCCAGATAGCACAACGCACCCTGTTCAACACCAGGAATGGTTAGCAAGGAACAAGGAAGCACGAGCTCAGATAGCTCTCACGCTGAAAGATGATCCCTTGAATGGGATACTCTATGTGCCAATAGCTAAAGATGCCTGGAAGAAGCTCTGTGAGCGATACGAGGGTAGAGGAAAGCAAACAATTGCTCAACTCATTGGCGAATTGTTTCGAAGTACCTTGACGGACGAATCTCCTATGGAAACGCAGCTAAACACCATGCGACAGAAGGCATTCATACTGTCCTCGCTTGGTCAGCCGCTCGACGATTCACTGGTCGCAGTTGCGATGGTGATATCCTTACCTTCATCCTATGCCACCCTTCGAACGATCCTAATGTCCAGTAGTGACAAACTCACCACCGAAACTGTTATAGCCCAAGTGCTGGTAGAGGAAAGGCAACGACAGGCTAGCAATAGCCAATCTGCGCTCGTTGCGAAGGGACCTGCGCAAAAGAATAAGCCTAAGCGCAAGGATAAGGACAAGAAGAAGTCAAAGGAAAAGTGCACATACTGCCACATTCCTGGACATGAGGAGAAGGACTGTCGAAAGAAGAAAGCTGCTGAAGACGCTGAAAAGAGTGGGAAGCAGGTGGACAAAGACAAAGGAAAAACGGACCTATCTGCAAAGGTCGCACGCATTTCGTCGGACCATGACACACCGCTCCAATTATTCATGGCACATGGGCACTCTACATCCGCATCCAAAGATGATTGGATAGTGGACTCTGGCGCATCTGCAAACATGACGTGTCAGCGGGAAATTTTCATCAAATATCGCACACTGAACCCACCCGGAAAAGTAATCATCGGAGATGGACGCTCGATAGATGCGATAGGTATCGGACGTGCTGAAATAAACGTCTATGTTGGTGAAAATGAGTACATCCACTCCATCCTGCAGGAAGTCTATCACATACCAGACCTGAATGCGAACCTTCTGTCAGTTCCGCGCCTCACGAAACAAGGTCTCGAAGTCACCTTTGATGGTTCCCAATGCAAGATCCTTGCAAAGGGAAAGACCGTTGCTCTCGCACATAAGCGAAACTCGCTATACGTCCTTCGAGTAAAGCCATGCGAGAAAGCACATGCATACATTCTGCAAGGACCATCAGCTCCACTCGATCCAGATGTCCCCATAACAGCTCTCACCTCGCGCATGCTCCATTCGAGTGCAACTCTGGACACATGGCATCGACGACTTGGGCACGTAAATTTCGACTCCATATCTAAGTTAATTTCGAAAGATATGGTCAATGGGATCAACATAAAGGGTTCAAGTACTCACAATAAGGCAGTGTGTCAGCCTTGCCTTGAAGGCAAGCAACACCGCAACCCAATCCCAACGAAATCAAATGTCGAAAGCCCAGGAGTCCTGTATCGCACATACTCTGATGTATGCGGACCCATGGAAACAGTGTCGCGCGCCGGCTTCCGATACTTCGTTACATTCATAGATGCCTATTCACACCATCTCGTGGTTAAACTTGTGAAGACCAAGGATGAAACATTCGCACTCACCAAAGGATACTTTGAACGTGCAGAGACCGAGACTGGAGAACGCCCCAACTATTTTCGTAGTGATGGTGGGGGGGAATATGGATCAAAACAATTTGTATCCTATCTCGAGTCAAAAGGCATCCATCACGAGAAAACAAACGCATACACACCACAAGAGAACGGTGTCGCAGAGCGGATGAATCGGACCTTAGTTGAAATGGCACGCAGCTTGCTACGAGACGCCGGACTGCCAAACACATATTGGGGAGATGCGATCCTATATTCGGCGCACATATTGAACCGGGTTCCAACTCGTGCGATAGATGGAGACATTACACCACATGAAGCGTTCACTGGGAACAAACCATCAGTATCCCATCTCCGGGTATTTGGGTGCAAAGCCCATGTACACATACCTGATGAAAAACGCCAGAAGCTCGGTGTGAAATCGCTCGAATGCGTCAACCTTGGGTATGCCGAACATCGAAAGGCCTATGTATGCCTGCATCGTCCAACCGGTCGCATCCTCGAGTCGCGAGACGTCGTCTTCGATGAAGGAGATCCGCAAGGGCCTAGTCGTGTCAAGATAGACACATTTCTCCCAGAGAAACAGGTCACTGCTGCAAAGCACAACACAGACGACCTGCAAGGCCTGGAAGCTCCTCATAAGTCAACAATTATAGAAGAATTATCAGACGATGACGCACCGGAAGTGGGAAATCCAGCTACCAAATCTCCCCACGAGGATGATGATGTCGATGGACAACCAGCTCCTCTAAGCATGGTCAAGTTCGAGCCTGAAGACCAGAACAAGGAAATGTCAGCACCGAACAACACGCGTGCGTTGGAGACACACCGTGTTCAACCACTAACCCCTTCAGCCACTCGACAAATAGCACCTCCTGCTCCATATCCTCGCCCAGCTCCTCCACCTGAAGTAAGGCGCAGCTCGCGAGCGCGACGCGCACCTATGCGAGACGATGATCCTCGCTACTTCATAAACGCCTATGAGAAGTCAACACTTCAAAGAGAGGAACCGGTTATACAAGACATACCTGAGGCAGTGGGCGCGATTGAGGCTGCGGAGACACATGGGGAGGCTTACAAGGCTACAGTAGCTTGTAATGGTGAGCCTGGGACGTTCCATGAAGCAATGAATCGTCCAGACGCAGATCTATGGTACACGGCGATGACTGAAGAATTGAAGATCTTCGAGAAGATTGGCCTATACGAGGAAGTCAAACGCCCTCGTGACCGCAAGGTTGTAGACTCGAAATGGGTCTATAAAATTAAGCGCGGCCCGCATGGCGAAATTGAACGCTATAAGGCCAGACTCGTCGCGAAAGGTTTCACGCAGGTCCAAGGGATCGACTACACAGACACCTTTGCCCCCGTCACGAAGTTCTCGACGATTCGAGTCCTTCTTGCCCTTGCAGCCAAGTACGATCTAGATATACATCAGATGGACGTCAAGTCAGCTTTTCTAAACGGTGAATTGGATGAGGAAATTTACCTGCAGCTCCCTCCTGGCTTTCGTGACTCGTCGAATCAAGTTTGGAAGCTCAAACGTGCTCTATACGGTCTTAAGCAGGCACACAAAGCATGGTACAAAAGACTACGTACCGTCTTCGAGTCTCTCGGCTTCACACGCAGCAATGCAGACCATTCTGTCTTCTACAAGGTCGAGAACGGCACAATCATTATAGTCGCCGTCTATGTTGACGACAAAATGATACTGTCAAAAGATAAGAAGATGATAGATGAGCTGAAGAAACGGTTAGCAGCAGAGTACGAGCTTACCGATTTGGGAGAAGCGCGCTGGATTTTGGGAATGGAAATCATTCGCGACCGCGATAAACGCACGATCAAGCTGTCACAAAGCCGCTACATCGAATCGATACTCGAGCGTTTCAATATGGGATCCAGTCGTCCTGTGAATACGCCAATGGACCCTAATACCAAGCTCATCAAAGTGAATGAAGCCGAAGTCGATGTGAAGACTTACCAAAGTGCCCTAGGTGCACTGATGTATGCGATGCTTGCGACGCGTCCGGACATCGCGTTCGCAGTAGGTGCTCTGAGCAGATTTGCAGCTACCCCCGGACAAGCGCACTGGACCGCTCTAAAGCGTGTCTATCGGTATCTACGCGGGACCGTCAATAAATGTTTGACATATCAAGGGAAGTCAGAAACGGACTTACATGCGTTCGTCGACGCAGACTGGGCCTCAGATGTCAATGACCGGCGTTCGATAACCGGATATATATTTTCAATATCTGGAGGAGCAGTTAGTTGGAGTTCGAAGAAGCAAAGTTCAGTCGCACTTTCCAGTACCGAAGCAGAATATATGGCCGCCGCCGCTGCTACGAAGGAGGCCGTTTGGTTGAGGACCCTACTCAGAGAACTAAACTCCTCAGAAACTCCCCCAATAACTCTCCAAATCGACAATCAATCTGCAATTCTGTTAGCCGAAAATGCCATGTTTCACGAACGTACCAAACATATCGCGATCCGGTATCACTTTATCCGAGAAAAGTTGGAGGAAGGAGAGATATGCGTTGAGTATGTTCCCACGAACGAACAGATTGCCGACGTTTTGACGAAGGCACTTGCGCGCGAGAAGCATGGACGATTCATCGAAGGAATGGGAGTGTTGAACGGCGAGAGTTTGATTCGTTGAGTGGGCGTGTTGAAAGATTATAGATAAGTGATAACTTTGATTCGGACAACAACAAACAACACTCGCTTACATAATACGCTATGCGCTCATTAGAAGTTTTATATTACTTAGCACCTCAGTCTTCGACTATTGAGACTGAGGTATGATATTATTTATTTAGACTCTTTACTACGATACTGACTACTACTCTAGTACTTACTACTTTCGTTTATAGGTCAGCTAGTAGTCTCCCAGTCTTCGACTATTGAGACTGAGTACTTACTACTTTCGTTTATAGAATTCTTTCTGTCATTCTTTCGTCTGTCGCATCCTCGAACAAAATACATCTTGCGATCGAAGAAGAAGCCAGATGGTGTGGGTGCATACAGCATACCGTTTTGTGGTGACATCTCATCTCACGAGTATGCCAAAATTGCACGTTGGTTCTCGGAGAATGTTCCTGGTGCTTCCGGTCAAGTCGAAAAATGGCTTGGTGGCATGCCTTTGGTGCATGCTTTCACTCTCGTGGTTGCTCACCGAAAGGCCAGTGATTTTGAAAAACGCATCGAAGCTCGAAACGAAGAATGGAACGATAGCATGCTGTTGAAGATGGCTTGGGCTGATCTCATGATAAGCTATCCTACCAATAGCTTCGTGGCTGATGTCGACCTCGAGTGTCTGACCGCACTAGAAGCAAGGATGTTCGAGGATTCCGAAGAAGCAGGACCTGCAGGCAACCAGCAGTGGGGTTTGGATGCTGGCCAACATCACAGGCGATGGAATGTGTATGTCGGAATTCCTGATGAATGGGTTTCTGCAAGAGATTATAGCGAGAGTGAACTTGAAGTGAGGAAGACATTACCTGCTCCGTTCGATAGATATCTAACTTATGTGATTGACAGCGCGGCCCCTTATTCAGTGATAACTCTGATGCTACATCTTTGGAGTCTGCAGACGAGCTATCCGAAGCTGTAGTTCCTTCTCTGCCGGCCAAAGAATGTCCGCCCGTTAAACGTCGATGTGCTCCACAGGCTCGAAGGGTCCAGAGAGGGAGGAAAAGAAAATAGTCATTGGCTTATGTATACCTAGTTGTACATGGCTCTGAGGCAACTAAAATAACAAAAGAATGGTCGTGAACTCATCCAACTTGATCTGGAAGTTGAATATAGAATATAGGAATGGCGCGTCAGTGGCCGCGTCAAGGATCGTTAGTGCCGCGTCAAGGCTCGTCAGTGCCGCGTCACATGCGCGTCACGACCGCGGCAGGCGCGGCAGGACCGCGTCAAAATAGCTACGCCCAGGCCAAAGCACTCGTACTATACCTATCCCCAACACTTACTAATGCCGCAACTGTTGGAAAGATGAGACTAGAACAAGGCTCAGCGTCGTGATAGTTAGAACCGCTGAGGTATGAGTCGCGTGAAGCTACAGATTATATATGATGGTATTGAGTCCGGAATGTCAAAGATGAAAAAGGGAAATGGCCAGAACTATGACGACAATGTGGAGCGATGACGACGTTGAATTCAATACACCCCCTCAACGAGACGACGCTCGAAAGTATCCGATTCAAGAGGAGATGAGGGAAAGACCAGACCGATGATGAATGAAGGCGGGGCGTGGTAGGACCTTGGTGAAGATGTCCGCAGTGTTTTTGTGGGTGGAGACCCAGACCGGTAGGAAGGTGTTGGACTCGATGTGACGTCTGATGAAATGATAACGTAGGTCGATGTGTTTCGTGCGTATATGGTTCGCGGCCTCTTTGGAGAGAGCGATGGCGCCCGCATTGTCGGCGAAGAGTTGCATGGGGAGAGACAGTGGGATGCTCAGACTTGTGAAAAAGGATTGGAGCCAGAGTCCGTCTTGAATGGCAGAGGTAAGCGCCATATATTCAGCCTCAGTCGACGAGAGAGCCTGAGTGGTCTGTTTCTTTGCCGAGTGCGAGATCGGACCACCATTGAAAAACCAAACGTATCCGGAGATCGAAATCCGATCTTCAGGACAAGACGCCCAGTCGGAGTCTGAGAAGCCGTGAAGACTGGGATTGATTCCAGCACCCCCGTAGTGTGTGCGTGTGTTGATCGTACCGGCAAGGTAACGTAGGATATGCTTGGCAGCAGAGTAGTGCTTAGGTTCAGCACATACGTTGTACTGCGCCAGACGCATCACCGCGAGCGCGATGTCCGGTCGAGTGTACATCGCGAGGTACAGCAGTTCTCCAACCAGTTTCCGATACTCGGTTTGGAGGTTGTCGACGTGAGGGAAAGTGTCAGTTGCGCGGCCGAAAGGAAAAGACGGGTCCATGGGAAGTGAGACCGGATTGCAGTTGGTCATCCCATGTTCCTCGAGTAGATACACAATATAGTCTTCTTGGTGCATCCAGAGTTCTCGGGTTTTCCGGTCGCGAATGAACTGAATCCCCAAGTATTTCGTCACGGGTCCGAGATCAGTGATTCCGAATCGTTCGGCGATTTGTGCCTTGGTGCGATCTAAGAAACCACGGTTGTTCGAACCCGCAAGTCCGTCGTCGACGTGCCATGCAATGATGCATATGATTCTCACCCCCTCACCGTTGACGTGATTGAACACGAACACGGCGTAGTCAGCCTCACAACGTAAGAACCCGAGACGCGCAAGGACCTCTCGCAAGAGCTCATACCAGTCAAACGCGGCCTGTTTAAGGCCATAGAGCGACGAGAGCAGGTGAGCGACAAGACGGGAACCATTGGAGTCGAGACGCTCAAAGCCGGGCGGTTGTTTCATATATACATCTTCCCGCAGTTTTCCCCAAAGGAAGGCTCGTTTTGCATCAAAGCAATCGATTTCCCAATCATGGGATGCTGCGTAGGCTGAGATGATGCGGATCGAGGCCGATCTGGCAACAGGCGCGAATGTCCGGCCGAAGTCGATGCCGGGTATCTGAGAGAAGCCTTGGGCTACAAGCCTGGCTTTGAAAATAGGTCCTCCCTTGAGGTCCTGCTTGAATTCGAGGACCCAACGGCAACCTATGGCTCGGCGATCCGGAGGTAAGACCACGAGCTCGTAAACATTCATTTCGGACATTAAGTTCATCTCTTTCCGCATTGCTGCCATCCAGTGGTCGCTATCGGGGCGACGCATTGCTTCATCAAACGTCGCTGGTGGTATCTTTAGGTCGTACCCAGGCAATAGGGGATTCCGGCGAGTATCGCTTCGAATCGAAAGACAGGAAACCTCGACTGCAATCAGGTTCGCAAGAACCTGCGGAAAGCCGACTTCGTCATCTTCGACAGGGATGGACTCTGGATCCACATCAGCGGGAGCAGCCGCACCTGGCATCTGCACAGGTACGTCGACAATGGGGACAGCTGGCACATCAGCAACGACAGTAGGAGGAGGCACACCGTTTATTCTCGCATTGCGAAGCTCCCGCTGACGTGCTAAGCGGGCCTTATCGGCGATGATGTGATTCTTAAGTGACTGACCCTTTTCAGTGGGGACAGGGACACGACTGGAACGACGGATGATGGATGCGTGTGGAGGTGTTGGCCTGGGAGGAGGCATAGGAGCTGCCGGTGGACTTGAAGTTGTTGGGACAGTCTTAGTGTCCTCGTCGTCGTCGTCACTGTCACAAAAGGGTTGATTAGACAGAGTCTCGTCAAAAATGACGTCACGGGAATTGAAGAATGCGCCCGTCAGTGCGTCACGGCAACGCCAGGCTTTCACACCAGGAGGGTAACCCATAAATATAGCTTCGCGCGAACGAGGTCCAAGTTTCTCCTGCAACTCGGGAGGAATGCGTGCAAAGCATCGTGCTCCAAAGACGCGAAGATGGGAGAGGTTGGGCTTGGTGCCATGTAGCATCTCATAAGGTGTTTTGCCAGCGGGCAGCGCGCGTGATTCAGTCCGGTTGAACAGATAGCAGGCTGTAAGTGCTGCTTCTCCCCAAAGGTTTGAAGGCAAGTGAGCAAAGTCTAGCATAGCGTACATCCGACCTTCAATAGTTCTCATCACCCTCTCCGCCTTTCCGTTCTGTTGATGAGCGTATGGTGCAGAACGCTGATGTTTCACTCCGGTCTCCTCAAGATTCGCTGTGAAGGCACCGCTGAGAAATTCACCTCCGTTGTCGGACCGAAATACTTTGACATGTCGTCCTGAGAGGTTTTCCCATCGCGCACGAAGTATGCGCCATGCCTCAAGAGCTTGCTCCTTCGAGGCCAAGAGTTGCAAGTCAAGTGCATGTGTGTGATCGTCAAGGAAGATCACGAAGTAGCGCTTTCCATGTGGGGTAAGCGTAGGGATTGGCCCGCATACATCGCTGTGGATTAGATCAAGAAATGCTGGCGCACGTTCGGTCTCGGAGGTGTGAAAAGGCTGCCGTGGATGTTTGGCGAGAATGCAAGACTCGCAGTGAGACATCGGAGAAGTGGACTGGATTGTAACGCCATTTGCGACACGATTGAGACGCATAACAGCGTCTCTGCCGATATGACCAATGCGGGCGTGCCATAGATCCAGGGATAAGGGAACATCAGCAAAGGCGGCTACCTCAGGAGTATGTGGAAGAGCTGGCTGTGAGTCCATGAAAGGGATGAACTCGACATTTGGTGCGTAGAGTTTGCCGGTGGCTGGGATGGAACCGAGTAGCGTACCCTTGTAGACTAACTCACAGATCATGCTTGCACGGAAATTGACGTCCCAGCCCTTAGCGTTCATGCAACTTACAGATAGCAAGTTCAACAGTGCACCGGGCGCGTGAAGGCAGTTGGAGAGACGAACGCGAAGTCGACGCTGACCAATGGTGAACCAAGCTACACATGTGCCCCGCCCGGTGGTCTGAAGGACCCCGTGATTCGCGGTGAGCACACTGACAGGTTCCTCGGTGGAGTAGGTATGAAAGAACCTGCGGTCCTTCACGAGTGTGACTGTCGTGCCTGAGTCCAGTATGGTAGTGAAAGGGAGGTTCGCGACGCAGGCAATCTCGTCTGGTATCTCTGCGATAGATGCAAAGGATAAGTCGTGCATGAGGCTGGTGATGTCAGCGGCAGCCGCGGCTATGATGGGCGCCGGCGTAGAGGTGGATGGGGAAGGTGTGGCTACCGTGGCAGCTGCAGCAACTGCTGCCTTATCCTTGCCGTCTTCCTTCCTCCGGTTACGCATCCAGGGCGCCTGGCCCTCCATTCCACCGCCTTTCCCATAACAGTGGGCATGGTCGTGGTCCCCTTTGTTGCAGCCAGGCGTGGTGCAAAAGACCCCGTCTGGGTTATGCCTGTGCTTGCGAAGTCCGGTGATAGAGTTGATGTGCGATGGCACAGCAGAGGAGGAGGTTGCGTTGGCATATTCAGAGCCGGGACGAGCATTGGTGATGACGTGTGAGTGTACATGACGTGCCGCTTCGGCGGTGATGCGAGACACACAACTCTCCACGGTGAAGGCTGAGACCGTGCCTGGTTGTGCTGTCATTACCTCGTCATGCATGCGTTGTTCTAACATGGACCGGAATTGTTGCCAGACAGGTGTATGAGGAAGACCTATGAGCAAACTATAAATGGCGTCACCATCACGCATGGCAGCGCCCGAATCACGGAGACGTTCTCGGAGTACTGCATGTTGACCAACGTAGTTAGTGGCATCGGCAGAGTCTTTCATCCGTAGGGCATCTAGACGTTGGCGTAGCTGATATTGCGCGCTGGTGTCAGTCCGATTGAAGTGTTCAGCGAGAGTTCTCCACGCATCGCGAGCTGAAACAGTGTGCAAGCGTGATACCAACGCTCCAACAGACGCACTAAGACGGCGAGTGACAAGATCCTTAGCCTTTATGTCACTTAACAACCATTCTCGCATCGCCGTCCTTTCGGCGGGAGTGATGTTGTCAGGATCGGCGGGATCAGGTATGAAAGATGGTGCTCTGAGCAGATCTGTTGGGTCAGGATTTGTGTTGATATGGCACCATAGATCTTCACATGCGAGAGCATATTGCATCTTTGTGGACCAACCGACATAGTTTTCTGTGCCCAATAACTCGGGAATATGATCAAATTTGCCCATGACGATACCGCCGTGAGAATGAATGAAGATGAGACAAAGGTGTGAGTGGCGAGTGGTCACGAGCGGAGTTCTTGCTATGTAATCTCGTTTGATGGTTCAATAAGAACCAGGGCTCATAACCTGTTGGAAAGATGAGACTAGAACAAGGCTCAGCGTCGTGATAGTTAGAACCGCTGAGGTATGAGTCGCGTGAAGCTACAGATTATATATGATGGTATTGAGTCCGGAATGTCAAAGATGAAAAAGGGAAATGGCCAGAACTATGACGACAATGTGGAGCGATGACGACGTTGAATTCAATAGCAACCTCAACCCGACGTACCTTCAAGCTGGTCCTTCTTGGCCATGCAGATCAGCACATAGTACGCACCAGACTGCCAACTTGTGCATATCGATGTCATGAGAATCATGCAGATTGCATCCGCGGAACCAACCCATGTGATATACAAGTCGCCTTCTGCAGTCCAACTGGTATCAGCCTATCATACAACGAAGGCTGTCCATATCGCAAGTTGTTCCTAATGAGAGTACAGTTACATTGGTAAGAAGAAAATGAGCATGTTCCGGAAGTCAACTAGTTGATGGGACTCGGACATCAGTAAACCGGTGAGTTCTTGCTGGGGATTATGCTGATTATGGTGCTTTTACATGGTCATATATTGCTTTATATCACTTTATATTACAATGTGACGAAAACCTTTCCTATATATTACGATATATAACGATATATGACGATATCTTCTTCTCACAGGTTCTCTGATGCCGAGAATAAGAGAAGAGCATAGAAGTGAGTGCAAAAGTAAACGATATGGGCAAAACAGTAGCGATATAGAGGTGAATGGGTTTCCTAGTTACTCGAGCCAGTCAATTGATTCAATTCCTCCCAAGAAATGCTGTGTCCACCCGCCGCGCACTCGAAGCCAGTCGGATTTTGGACCCAAGCATATCCTTTAGGACATTTACGTTCCTTTGGAAGACGGTCGAGCGCTTTTTGGATCTTTTCCTGCATCTTCTCATCCGCGGCGCTGCCCACCTCAGCTTCTTGACGTTTCTGAAGCAGACGTTTTTCTTCATCTTCATCCAGCCAAGTAGCAAAGACATCCATCGAAAGAGAGCGCAGCATCGCTACGGTAGGATACTCTGAGATGTGGATCTGCAAGTACAGACGGCTGTCCTTGACGATGCGGGCATTAACAGGAATTTCTTGGCGATCTACGAAGTGGTTCCACTGGTTCTCTAAGTCATTAGCTTTGATGCCTAGCACGGACGAAAGGCACACAGCAGTAGCCTCGCTAGTCTTCTTATCGCCTGGCTCCTCTGATTCCATTGTTGCGAGTAGAATATTGGATCGCACGACACAAGCTAAGTGATCATTCGCCGTGCTATATTTGACCGTATATGAGAGTGACGTGAGCGTCGGGTGGACCAAGTCTTTTGGGATAGGGACATCCAACGCGAGTGTCCAGTTCCCGCAGTTATTGCTGATGAACTCGGAAATGGGCTGGTTAGAATATGACGCATGGGTATGTACCAAACTGATGTCCTTCGGCGAGAAGGTAGCTGATGCCTGAATGATGACAGGATAACCGTGGATGAGATTGTGCAATATCGCGCAACTTGTGGGGACTTACGTGATATTGAGCGACCACTGGGACATCCACGGCGGGTCGGTAATACACTGCATTTACACCCGAGGGCTGATCGAGTGCAGCAGTGGGGACTGGGCACGCACGCCTGTATTGCTGGACGTGTGCGATAGGAGGCTGCCCGCTCACTTGTCCCCTCTGCGCTAACAGGGGATAGTCTCGGTAATATACTGCATCTACACCCAAGGGGTGATTGAGTGTAGTAGTGGGGACCGGGCATGCACGCTCGTATTGCTGGACGTGTGCGATAGGAGGCTGCCCGCTCACTTGTCCCCTCTGCGCTAGCAGCGGATAGTCCACTATCAGAGGTGATTGATAGCGGTGGTCTGACTTAGAAGAAGATGGAACGTTGGCAGACTGAATGAGCAGAGGGCTTTGCATAATTGTCAAGGTGAGATAGTGCAATGAGATAGTGCGGTACTTGACTTCAGGCTTACAGGATATTCATGCGTTTAAATATGTGCTCTCGCAATCTTCCGGTTAGGTCACTCGCAAAAATCTGCACAGCGATTATCCGAACTTGCTGTGAGACATTCAACCTCCGAAAAATCATCATTACATCCCCTGAAAACCATTGATATTAACGCCCGACTTTCCTGATCACACTGAGCCTGTATGTATCACTGGCTAGCCATGTGCATGCGTCCCTACTGTGATCCGTCACGGAAAATCGGATCCAGAGAACCAAAATATGTTGCAATGAGAAGGGTTGTTTGTTGCTGCAGAACGGATGATGAAACAGTCAATGGTATGTTGAGCGCCTGATGATGCAAGTAAATGAACTGATTCTCAAACCAGTGTAGGGGCTTGGAAAATTGTGACAGGGCGGATTATCCGGCGTCACGGCAAGTCTTGCATCAGCGCTGGCCGCTAAGAATGTTTAACCCAGATGACATCCAAGCATCAGAAGTTTGTCATTGTGAGACGGCGCGAGTCCCCTATACAACAACTTCTTTTTCACCGGCAAAGGCTTGCAGGTCTCCCCGAACCCGGTAACACATTTTCCTTATGCACATGCGCAGATTTTTGCAGATCTGCAGAATCATTGTGCAGGGATTCCCCTACCTGGCTGAACTTTCTCGGCCTCCCCAATTTAAGTAAACTTTACTATCCCGATCAACTCGGGAGCGTCTGCGTGTACTAGTCAAGTTCAATTGGTCTATATATTCCCTTCAGCATATCGACCGTGCCCATGATTGGTCATGCGGCACGATTATTATAACTCGAGCTTATCACGTCCATTCCAGCTAGCAAAAATCGATTCAAGGTTCGGTACAACGAATGTCAGATCCAGACAAGCGCTCCCCATCCTGATTGCTCGCTGTCATACTCGGAGGGTAGCGGGAGCACTGCTTCTAATAATAGAAAATCAGAAGGAGAGCTTTTCCTTCTTGTCTTTTGCGCTCACATTCACAATATAGTCGCATCATCGCATCTGTCCGACATCACGAGCGCCAGGGAAGCTCCAATGGAAATTTCCTGTCCCTGGAACAATCTCAGAGAACAGAGGAATCTCGGACGATTAGCAGGGAGAGTATACTCGTGCGTAATGCAATCCTCTAACCCACCCTGTTGCCTTATGTCCATCATACAGCTGAATCAGTCAAGATCGACGTGGACGCCTGTAGTGGGTAGTTCTGACTCTTCTGGCGACCTTTCCGAAGGTTGATTGATTATGACAGTGGCGGCGTTCTGATATGATCAGCTGATCGGCATTGGCCTGGATCACGATTGATCTGATCCCTGAAATGTCATTCGGCTCCAGTTATAGTCAGTGAATTTCACTTCCACATTGCATCAACCTGTCTTCTGTTGAGAGCCGATGTGTCCGAGGGAAGTAAGGCCGAGAGAGAGAGAGCTGAGAAAGGAAAGGACGATACGGCCGAAGAATAGAGCACATCGAGTGCGAGCGTCTCCAAACGGAGAACGTCGACGACGTGTCAACGTCGGCAATCTTTTCGTTCTTTAAGTATATATTTTTCATCAAAGCTATTGCTGGCAGACTCACCGTATAAGAGGACGCTGTTTTCGTCGAAACGTCTCAGATTCGAAACGAATACTGAGACGTAAGTACAAGTCCCACTGTAACGTTCGAGCGCAAGCGCTGACGTACATCTAGTCGTACCTTTGTTCTAGGTACAAACAATTGTTAATACAGATTCGAAACGAATACTGAGACTCGTACCTTTGTTCTAGCGTGTCGTAAAACCTCCCGCGTGTATCGTTCCTCCACAGGTTATGAGCCCTGTCTCCTCCATGGACTTGTCGACTCCCAGCACCAATTCAAACCTTTTTAACATCCCGAAGCTCGCCGAAGATGGCTCGAACTGGATAACCTACAAGGAAAGGACGTTAACGGCTATAGGTGCACGAGGACTTACGAGATATACCGATGGACGAGCTAAAGAGCCTACGCCTTTCGTAAAGAGCTCTACGGGGGCCGTTACGAAGCCGGATGGTACAACACCTACGCAGAAAGAAATCGATGAGCTCGACGCAAAGACCGATGAGTATCAACAAAAGAACTCACTCGTAAAACAGCAAATATTTTGCACGATCACAGATCGGCTGCTGTTACGTGTCCAAAAGTTAGCATCCGCGTCCGAAATCTGGAAGGAAATATGCCACATACATGAAGGCAAAACCGAACTCGTCCAGATAGATCTGAGACGGAGGCTCCAGGAGACGAGGTGCGAAGAAGGTGGTGACGTCAAGGCTCATTTTTCAGAGCTTTTGCGCCTGAGGGAGTCGTTAGCTGGAATGGGGGTAGCCGTCATTGATACGGACTTTCATGCCATCATCCTAGGGTCCTTACCTGAATCCTACCGGCCGCTACTGTCGTCGATGAACGCAGCGGCCAAGATAACGAAAACTCCCCTCTCGCCCTACGAACTCATCACCATCATCACAGAGGAATACGAGCACCGGTTACTCACCGAACGACGTCCCAACAAACGCGGGACCAACAGTGCGCTCTCCGCGAGAACAAATGCAGGGAGGAGCACAAGCTCGCAGAGCTCGGCTCCAAAATCCAACCCCGACGCAGTCTGTACGAACTGCGATCGTAAGGGCCACTGGAAGAGTGACTGTTGGCGAAAAGGTGGAGGAAAAGAAGGTCAGGGGCCGAATCAACGGCAGAGACAAGGAGGACGCACCCAAAAACAAAGTGCCAATGTAGCCAAAGAGCCGGAGCCAAAGGACAACTACGCTTTCGCTACGTCAGACCTCGCAGTCATAGCAAAATCGATGGACGTACCTCCAGAGCGCCGAGGAGCAATAGTAGACTCCGGCGCGACCTCTCATTTCTGCCCGGATAGGGCAAAATTTGTATCCTTCGTTGAGATCGCCCCGCAGAAGATATACACTGCGAATGGAGCTACTGTCAATGCGACAGGACGAGGAGACGTGAGGATGGACTTACCGTTGGGCTCGAAACGAACGACCGTGACGCTAAAAGACGTCCTATATGCCCCCTCCATGGCATTTACCCTTATCTCCACCAATAAGATCGCCTCCGCCGGTTTGGCCGTGCTGTTCGAAGGAGGAATGTGCAGGATACTGTCTGCTCCCCCCGAACGAAGGACGATCGCAGAAATACCCCAAGTCCAGGGACTTTACGCTGTAACGTCCGACCGTAAGCATCGTGCCAACGTCGCCAGGACAAAGCTTACCATCAATGATGTCCATCGTGCCCTAGGGCACGTATCACATGCGGCCCTTCTTGACGCAGTCAAGAAGGGCCTAATCCTGGGCATAGACATAGATCCGGCGCCCGCCATCCAGTTCTGTGAAGTCTGCGTGAAAGCTAAGTCAGCTCAGCAGTCCTTCCCAAGAGAAACGAAGATGCGCGCACTTACATACGGAGAACTAGTCCATACGGACCTCTGGGGACCGGCGCAGACGACGAGTTTGGGAGGCTGTAAATATTATGTCAGTTTCACGGACGACTTTAGCCGGCAGACGCGACTCGAGTTCCTCAAACAAAAGAGTGACGCACTTACCGCGTTCAAGTCCTATGAGGCATGGGTGGCCCGTCAATCACCAGGTGTGCGCGTGCGCAAAATCCGTTCGGACAGAGGAGGAGAGTATCTGAGCGCCGAGTTCGATCAATACTTGCGTCAGCAAGGTATAGAGCGGCAGCTAACAGTGCACGACTCACCCCAACAGAATGGTGTCGCCGAACGACTCAACCGGACACTCGTCGAGCATGCGAGAGCAATGCTCCTAGGCAGAGATATGCCAAAGTACCTGTGGGCCGAGGCCGTTAGTTACGCCACTTGGCTCAAGAATCGCCTACCTTCAAGGGCGATCCCAGGTAGCACGCCCTACGAGTTGGTGCGCAAGTCCAAGCCGGACTTGTCGCAGGCCCATGAATTTGGGGCCAGGGTCTTCGTCCATATGCTGGAGGCTGGTAAGCTGGAGGCGAGGGCGGAGGAGGCAGTTTTTGTGGGGGTAGACGCTGAAAGTAAAGGATACCGGGTGTATTGGCCCGGCAGACGGCGTGTCTCGGTGGAGAGGAATGTGACCTTCACGCCGATCCTGGCAGCCGATGGTATGCCGGACGAGGGGGAGTCTGCTGTAGTCAACGAACATAACAGCGGCAAGGGTAATAATAACTCACCTAGTAGCGTCCAGCCCATCACCATGCCACAGCAACCTCAACCATCTACTCCTCAGCAACCTCAACCGTCTACTGCCCAGCAACCTCAACCATCTACTCCTGAAGCGAGGTCGACGAGGGTAAGACCACCCCCAGGGTACTATGCGGCGCTGAATGAGGGCCAAACGGCAGCCCTAACCATGGAAAGCCTGTTGGAAGCGTCAGAACTCGACCTCTTGGATGAAGAGGCGCATATTCACCTAGCATTGGCCGCCGTCCAACCAGAACCGACCCTCCAACAAGCCTTGAAGGGCCCAGACGCTGCAGAGTGGCAAGAAGCCATCAATTACGAAGTCAGTCAACTCGAGAAGCTAGGTACGTGGGAAATCGTAGACGCACCTCGAGGCGTAAACCTTATCCCATGCCATTACGTCCTGGCCACAAAGCGCGGGCCGGACGGCGAGAAGCTGAAGCTTCGCGCGCGCCTAGTTGCAAATGGGCAGCGCCAGAAGTACGGGGTCGATTTCTTCGAAACCTTCGCCCCCACGGCCAATATGAGCACAATACGTGCAGTCCTAACGATGGCTGCTCAGCACGACTGGGAAATACACCAAGTCGATATTAAAAGTGCGTACCTATATGCGAGTCTGCAGGAGGACATATATATGCGAGCGCCCCCTGGATACTTGAAGGATGGTCAGGAAGGGAAGGTACTGAAGCTGAAAAGAAGCTTACCTGGACTCAAACAAGCAGGATATGAGTGGGCGCAGGAGCTAGCTGG